AAGAGCTGTAAATTAGTATAATGCCTTCAAGTTTAAATTCAAGCTAGAAGCGTCACTGCTTTCGGAGCAGCAACCTTTATGTCGCATGCTCTTGGACTGCAGCTTCAGAGATGTGCAAAACAGAGCTCAGCCTAGTAAACCTAAATGCTCACTTCTGTTTCCTTGAGCAGATTCAGGAGCTATCTGTATTATACGTATAAATACTTAACAAGAAAAAAACAAGAGCCACAGAAAGGTAAAATAGTTTGGTAATTTGTAGAAGGTAACTTTGATCAAAAATACAATGCATTATTAGATGTAATCAGTCTGGAAGATTATGTTCACAGGCAGATGCTCCTGATGATGTTGTGCACTGTATTGTAACAGTGGATAGCAACTGGATATAACCAGTATAATAACTAGATTTATCCAGTATAACAACTGGATATGCTTTTCAAACTTACTCTCAGAATTGGTTGAATTCTCATTCTTCTGTACACTTGAGCTCTGTTGTAAAGTTCGGAGACATTTTTTCACAAGATTCCAACAAGTTGCTCTGGATCCCTAATTACTGAGACCAAACTGAGTCGAAATGCCAAGCGGGATTACTCTTTCTCAATCCCTGGAGTCACACGGAATGAATAAGTGCATAAAACATGGCGTGCATCCCCGGATATGTAGCAGTCCAGTTACTGACCACAGTACTTTCAACGGGAGATTTAACATGTGCAATAATTTTTTACCTTTCCTGTGAATTACCTTAAAGAACAAGGTATGAATAATGTCTTGAACCTGCTGGAATTCAGGGATGGCATTGTAATATCCTAAAAAAGTCTAAGGGAACTTAGAGCTTGCACAGTACTACCAGTGAACTGTAAGTGTGTATTATTAGTTATTATGTATATGGGGTAAACATGATTCCCCTCAGCTTTACGAAGAGGGAAATAAGTCATAAAGAATTGAAATGATGGAGTCAGGACAGTATAGCCAGTCTGCTTATGTCTGAAGTGATGCTTTTAAGCAATAACAGTACTAATGTACTCATCTTCTGTAACTTTGCTCATTGTGATTTACTATCCAGCTCTGTAACTGTTTCCTGCCCTTTTTTTTTTCTTCATTTCTCAGAGATGAGTCCAAAAAGGAAACATACTGCTTCGATTTGACTATCAAAATTATTATAATAGTATTTTTTTCAGTGTAAAAAATACTTGGAGCTTTCAGAAAACACACCAGAAGTGTTTGAATGTACAGACAGCAGGCAAAGATAGTGAACAGTATTTTTTTCATTATACTGTGCATTCAGTCAGCCAAGCAAATGGATAATTTGACTTCAACAATAAATACGCAAATGAAGCTTTGTTAAAAGGGGTTGTTTTGGTCTGACCATCTTTATTGATGACTATCATAAGTATGTAAAGATTTCACAATCTATTTAAATTTTCTTAAATTGTATTATTTCTTGATCAATAATGTGATCAATTTATTTAATTTCTGTTGTTCCCATCACTGAATTATCTGAATACAAAGTAATGAAGGAATACAATAACTGAGCAGGAAACAGGATAACTCACACCGGCATATACTGGCCTTGCCAAATCCTGTGTGAATGCTTTGATTTCTTTTCCTCTTTAATGTAAAACGCAACAGATTTTCATTACTCCTGATGATTCTGAGGAGCTTTAAACTCCTTCTCTCTGCTGAAGAGAAATATACAGTTCTTTTCAGTGACTATAAACAGAGAATTGCTTCATTGCTTCTGTGATTCATTCCTAGCTCCACCAGTAAGAGAAAGCCCCTGGCTAAAATAAAATAAAACAATTATCTCAATGTGAATTAACCTTAGGAAATAGAGGTCTCCGTTTGTAAAAAAACCAAATAAGTAAATCAAGCATCCTATACTCTTACAGATTCCTTCGGAAATGTCTGTCTTCGTTCATGCATTCTGTGCAGGGACACGGGGGGGAAAGTCACTAAAACGATTTTCCTGTTGATAAGAGATGTTGTGGACTAAAGGCTGTAACAACAGCTGAAACAGGTATTATGAACATGCTCTCAAAGCATAATACATAAGATGCATCTTCTGCCAAGCAATACGGATGTTTTATAGCACACAAAGCCATAGGGAGAAGATGTTGAGTAAGACTGAAAAGTTAAGAGAGTCTCGAGGATTTGTTTTCTGTCCCTGCACTAAACAGAATTTTATAACAGCAGACTGTAAAGAAAACAATGTTTTGGAACACAACATATTAAAAGCTTCCCTGTTTATGCATTAAAACAGCCAGAACATACATCAACACGGTTATTGGTAACTATCAGAAAAATGCATGATTTAGCTTAAAAATAGTTTTCATACTTTGTTCTCTAAGACAAAACATGATTTATGCCCCAGAGAAAACCAGTGAGATAAAAAATGCAGTATTATCCATTCTAACTGAGGGTTTGGTTTTGCCTTCTATGTGTTACTTCCTTTGAGCAAAGTGATTAGCCATCATTCAGGGTCTTAAACGTTGCTCCCGCTAAGAAGGGAAACTGATACAGTGACATCAAGTCCTTCTTGAACACAAACCTCATTGTTGTTCTTCCAAAAAAACCTGATATGAAGTACATAATAGGTATCTAACGGAGGACAGTTCTTTTCCACAAAGATCCGAGGGTTGTTTGGTTTGGTTTGGTCTGCTTCATCTCTGCCCAGGATCAAACCTTGCATTTAACTCATGTACTTCAGTTTTTGATTGACCTTCCATGTGCTCTGTGTTTATAGCAACAACTTCTATTTCTTCAGCTACCTCACTCCCAAAGTATGGTAATACTCCAGTTAGATTTATCCTAAATGACTGCTCACCTCCACGAAATTAGGGCATGAACCCTCAGAACAAGAGCTGCGAAGAGGACTGTTTTGTCCCTGACATAGGTTCTTTTGCTGAATAAATTATTATGTTCTGAAAATAAAGGATCTGGATCAGGAAGGGATGTTGACTGTAACTGCCAGCATTTATCCACAAGTACACTGTTGCATTTTCCCTTCTTTTCTAGATAGTATTTTTAAAAATCACTACTGCAACGAATGACAGCTGAATAGATCACACCAACTTGACCAGCAGATAAAGACTGAGATCAAAGAACTCTTAATTCCCTTCTGTTCAGGCTCTCACGTGTTCATTAATATTGACAGCACTTGACTACACCCATCAAATCGAGTCTATGTTTTCACTTTCACAGGTCTCATCCACCAGCCACTGAAGTCAATAGAAAGCCATCATCAGAATTCACTATGCTTTTATTTAAGTCTTAAGTGATATGAATGGCCATCCCACAGCCTATTGCCAGGGTGGTAAAATTTACAGTCAGCTGTCAGTATAAATCCTGTTTTTTTATCTTAGTGCAAGCTTCTGTACTGCATCATCTATTCGTAAAGAAGTGGTTGTGAATTAAATCAAAACAATGGAATAAGAAGCATGCAAAAATATCTGCTGCATGCTACCTGTTGCCAGAACGGACATGTGCAAGCAGTGGTTCTGCCATCAGCACGACAGTCTGTGTCTATGAAATGGCCACCCTTCAATCATTTTGACTTGCCAACAGTACATGGTTAAATCCCTCAGGATAAATTACTTTTGGTTCAGGACCAAGGAGGAATACAGATAGCTTTAAATCATTATAGGTAGGGGCAATCAGGTAACACCCAAGCCATCAATGCAGACCAGGACTACAGCAGCGGACAAACCAATGCAAAACAAACGCAGCCTAAAGGTCCAGATTCACTCCTTTGGACATTTCAGACCACTGGAGTGATGCGAGCGAGCTGCCCCACGGCCTCTTCGCTATTCTGGATGCCACTTGGGTGTCATATGCTATCTGCTTTACTTTTTTACTTTTCCCAGTCGTTCTGCACTTCACCGGTCACTGGAGGTCACCCAGGAAGACGCCAGCCGAGTGAGTCATCTGGAGTCAGATGCACGCTGCTCTGTGTTCAGCGGCCGCCCGCCTGCCATGCATCCAAATGGCCAGATCTGAAGCGACAGAACTTTGTATTCCCTGGTACAGCACGGAATTAGGCAAGCAGAGGGGACGGGGAAGGGAATATTCATGGTATTACCAGGGGAGCAACGGAAGAATAAAAGCTGCCTGATATTTGAAACGGTTAGATCCCTCCACAAGCTGTTCTTTAGAAAGAAACGATGGCATCACTTTAATACGTCACACAGAAAATTTTCAATGGTGTTAATGAGCTGGTTTTGAATCTCTGTCCAAAACATATCTTAAGGACAACGTAAGAGGTGTCTGAGGCATCAGACTTCACTTTTGATAAAATCTGTTTGAACTTCTTGAGATAATGAAGCTAGTGAAGCTTCCCTGTGGCCACTACTCCTCCTCCTTTGCTCCTAACATGCATTTGTTTACTGCTTCATTTGTGACAGGTTTAGATGACAAAGTCTCAGAAATCAGCTTTAAAAAATACTTTGTCTGCAAACTTTTTACCGAGTAGACAGAAAAACCCCTAAAGTGTTACATACCAAGTACAAAGAAATACAAACCCACTATCCATTCCTCCACTGTCTCCCTTTGTTCGTTAACGTGAATGAAAACGTTTCACCCCATTACTCGTTATCGCTAAGCCTTTTCCAAGTTTTTTTGCTTCCTCTAAACACAAGACACTGAACACATAACCCAAGATGAAATCCATGCACGTTGTGAAATGGAGGGATACTGATGAACTCAGGCCCCAACAAGTCCACAGCCCAAAGCGATGGTGGTGCTCATCCCTACCGCGAGTCAGAAGGGTCCTGTCACTTCTCAGGACGAACTCAGTTGCTGCAGGCGGGGTGATGGAAGAATTGTGCCCACCGAGAGGTCCCCAGGCACGCACGCTATACACACAGCACGCCGCAACGAATTCTCAAACTCCACAAATACGCCCACCGTTTCAGGCACTGAAGCAGTGGATTTGTTCAGACCAAGGGGCCGTCAACACACTGATGCAGGATCTAATACTGAACTCCACAGACAAAATTTAGACACCCATGGAACCACAACTAGCAACCGCCCCAAATCCACGCTCCGCTGTCATAGGGGAGGCTGCAGGCACCCGCCCTCATAACACCGAGCTGGGTGGCTGGTGCCTGAGCCTTGTTAGGGCCAGCCCCAGGGACCTCCAGCTGCGGGAGGTCTCCTCAGAGCACAATGCTGCACTCGCAAGTGAAGGATCAAGCTCTCCACGGAGACCGGCCAACAGCGGCATCAGTCCCCAGGAGGAGACCGGCTGCAGGGGGGCCGAGACGCTCCTCACAGCAGAGTTCCAAACCTGGGTCTCTTGCTGGCGAGTGTGTGTGTCAGTCGTGAGGGAACCGCCCGCCGCTCCCGGTGCCGAGAGCAGCCTCGGGACAAGGAACGGGCAAGGAGCGACTCTGCACGCGCGGTTCCAGGCGACGATCATGCCCTGGGCACCTCGTGTGGAGATCGGAGCCAGATGCCACCAGGCGTGGGGCGCAGAAGGAGAGGGGGGCCAGCGTCGGCAGGCGCCCTTCCCCGGGGCCCCGGCTCGCACGCCAAGCTGCTGGGGGGGCCCCGGACTGCGCCCAGGCCGAAGATGGAAGCACCGGGGGGCCATTTCTCAGCTTTGCCCCTGCGGAGGCGCGGCCAGCAC